TGAAAAGAAAATGGAATTTTCCCATGGGCTTTTTTGAAGCCTCTTCTTTTAGTTCCATCAGTGCTGGGAAGTCATGGGGGTGGGCGAACACACAATAAAAACACTGCCATCAAGTCGATTCTGATTTATAGTGACCCTGCTGTACAAAAGTAGAACTGCCCCATAGGGTTCCAAGACTAGTCTCGATGGGAGCAATAGCCTCATCTTTCTCTGGAGGAGCAACCAGTAGGTTTGAACTGTGGATCGTGCGATTAGCAGCCCAACGCATAGCCCGTAGCATCACCAGGGCTCTTTGGAAATGGGGAAAGTTGGGTCAATTTACTCTAGTCTTTGACATGAATTAACTAGTTATGTTTAGAGTGCAGGGATAAGTACACTTGGAAAAGCCAAAACACAAGTCAATTTTACACGTACATAGTAAAATGCTCAGCTTTGTTCGTTTATGTTTTTCTATCTAGGATCCAAATGAAGACACAGAATGGAATGACATTTTGAGAGACTTTGGCATTCTTCCTCCAAAAGAAGAACCACAAGATGAAATTGAAGAAATGGTTTTACGTCTACAGAAAGAAGCACTGGGTATGGCTGTGCATTTGGTGGGCTGGATGCAGAGGAGACTACAGCTATGGTAACTCGGTACCCTCGAAACAAAGCAAAAACACTCACAGGCTTCCTGAGCTCTTCATGAGAGCAGATAGCTGGTCTTTCTGGGGCAGAGCAGCCGGTGGGTCTGAATCTCTGCATTGTAGCGAGCAGTCCAATGCTTCCCTGACTCCGTGGCAGCCCGTTTGGTTGTGTTTGAAAACATTTGTCAATATTTCCAAGTATGTGGAAAAAAACAAACTTATGGGGTCTAGTTGATTCTCAAAATGAAACTTACTGTCATTGAGTTGATTCTGACTCATAGCAACCCTCCAGGATGCAGTAGAGCTGCCCCTGTGCGGTTGATTGTGTAACCAACTCTGTATCAGCAGAAAGCCTCTTCTTTCTCCTGAGGAGGAGCTCGTGTGTTTGAATTGCCTACCTTAAGGTTAGCATTCCAATGAGTCACCCACTATATCACCAGCGCTCATTCCATATTACTTCAAAAAATTTGGGAAACAGCTTCCTGACCAACCACCTGGAGGAGATCCATATTTGTGCTAACTCCAAAGAAAGATGACCCAACAGAGTGTGGAAATTTTCAAACAATATCATTAATATAACATGCAAGCGCCATTTTGCTGAAGGTCATTCAAAACTGGTTGTAACTGTACATCGTCTAGAGCTGCCAGAATGTCAAGCTGGATTTAGAAATGGACATGGTATGGGGGATATCAGCACTGACAGTAGTCAGGGGATCTTGGTGAAAGCAGAGAATACCAGAAATATGTGTACTTATGGTGGGGTGGTTTTTTTTTTGACTATGTAAAGAGTTCAACTGTGGGCATCAAAACAAACTATGGACAAAATTAAGGAGAATGGAAATCCCAGGACACTTAATTTTACTCATGCAGAACCTGTTTATAGACCCAGAGGTAGTTGTTTGAACAGAACAAAGGAATACACTGTGGTTTAAAGTCAGGAAAAGTGTGCAGGGTCCCATCCCTTCACCTTACTTACTCAATTTGTATACTGAGCAAGTAATCAGAGAAGCTGTGCTATTTGAAGACGACCATGGATGGCATCAGGGATAGAGCAAGAGCCACTAACCATGAAAATGTAGATAATACAACTGTACTTGCTGAAAAAGAGCAGGACTTAAAGTACTTGCTGATGAAGATCAAGCCTTCAGTATTGATTACAACTCAATGTAAAGAAAGCTAAACTCCGCACAGCTGGACTAATAGTATCACGATCAACTGAGAAAACGTTGACGATGTGGAAGATTTCTTCTTGCTTGGACCCACAATCAATGCTCATGGAAGCAGCAGTCAAGGAAGCAAATGATGTATTGCATTTGACAAATCTGCTGCACAAGAGCTCTTCAAGGTGTTGAAGAGCAAGGATGGCACTTTGAAGATTAAAATGTGCCTGACCCAAGCCATGGTATTTTCAATCACTTCTTATGAATATGAAAGTTGGATAATGAATAAAGAAGTCTGAAGAAGAATTGAGGCATTTGAATTACGGTGTTGGTGAAGAATATTGAAAGTACTTTCGGAATACTGCCAGAAGAATAAGCAAATCTGTCTTGGAAGAAGTATAGCTAGAATGCTCCTTAGAAGTGAAGATGTGAAGATACTCAGCTCATGTGCTTTGGACATGTTGTCAAGAGTGATCAGTCCCTGGGAGGAAAAAAACAAAAAACGCCATACTTGGTAAAGTAGAGGGACCGTGAAAAAGAAGACCTGTGATGAATGGATTGACACCGTAGCTCTAACATGGGCTCAAACATAAAAACTGTGCTGATGGCGCAAGAGCGGGCATTGTCTCATTCTGAGTTGGCGCTCACTCTGGGACACCGAATAAGAGCAGTTGATTCTCAAGGAGCCCTGGCGGTGCTTCCGATTGCTAAGAGTTGGATTATCCTGGTGGAGGCAACTTGATGACAGTGGAAATTGACTCTTACATGTAATTTTAAATGTCTTCTGGCAGTTCTCTAAACTTTAGAGGAGCGGTAGCAGTTTAATTTGCAGGTTTTTCTGGCATATAAAACTATTTTGTAGCTGACTGCTTAAAAGACATTGATCTCCACTTGTCTAAGATATTGTTATTTTCCAATATGTGTCTTAAACAAGAATAGTTTTTTATATATAAATAATTTTATTGGGGGATCTTACAACTCTTTATAACAATCCATACGTCAATTTTATCAAGCACATTTGTACATATGTTGCCATCATCATTTTCAAAACATTTTCCTTCTGTTTGAGTCATTGGTACCAGCTCCTCTTTCCCCACCCCTCCCCTGCCCTCCAGCCCTTGTGAATCCTTGATAAATTATAAATCATTATTATTTTCATATCTTACACCAACCGCTGTCTCCCTTAACCCACGTTTCTTTTATTCATCCCCCTGGGAGGGGGAAGTAAGAATCATTTTAAAGCAATATTATTACCTTCCATTTTGTGTTGTTCCAGTTAAACCATATGAAAAGATGACGCTTGCACAGTTGAAAGAAGCTGAAGATGAATTTGATGATGAAGATATGCAAGCAATTGAAATATATAGGTACAGTGATTTGTTTGGATTACTTAGAGTTTTTAATTTTTATGATTGTTATTTGGGTGAAAGTTTACAGGGCAAAATGTACGCACATTTTGATTCATGACGTCGATTGCAATCCCACAATTTAATGAGGCTCTTCCTATTTCCTCCTTGTGCTTGCTATTTCCCGGTGTCTTTCTTTCCTCTTGGTTCCTGCCTCCTGCGCTTCATGCCTGAGCAGGGGCTTGCCATTAGATCCCATGCGCTTGGCTGTTTAAGGAATGCTGATGACCTTGGTGCTGTCGTTGACTTCGTAGACCAGTCTCTTTGGCTAAAAGTTGAGCTCTGGAAGTAAGTTTAATTCCAGGTCTACAGAATAACTAAGGGCCGTGGTCTCCGAATTCTACCAGTCTCTATCAAAATAATAAGCCTGAAGTTTTATTATTTTGAGTTTTGTGTCACCTTTTTCTCCCACTCTCTCCATGACCCCTTCTTGCCATCTCTCTTAGTACGGTCATCAGTAGTAGCTATGCACCACCTCAGGCTTCTGCTCTCATCATTGCGGAGGGTGAGGTGGGTGTACTCGATTTGTCCTTTGGCCTAATTGTTTCCATGTGTCTTGGATTTCATTCAGTCATCTTGGTTCTGGACAAAGAGAGACTAATAGTTACAACTTAGATGGCTGTTCTACGTCTGAGTTTTGAGTGGAGAAAGTATTTTAAGGAACTAAGCACAAATCTTGTTTTGTCTATAAAACAGAACAAAGCAGAATAATTTTAAATGGCATTTAAAAGTCACCTAACTTTACATAAATGAGTTCATTATTTTTCTTAAAATTTAAGTAAAATACAACAGAACTTTCCCAAACTATATATGAGTAAAACAAAATATCAATAAAAGATCAGTGAGAAGAAGGCTGCGATTGTTTCTCTAGCATGTCTTTTGTTAGATTCTATAGGAAAATTATTATATTCTTCATTGAGGTATTACTGGTCTCACCAAGATAAAGGAGCTTGTTAAAAACCCAACAAACCCACTACCATCGAGTCTATTCTGACTCATAGCAACCCCCTAGGACAGAGCAGAACTGCTCCTCAGTGTTTCTAAGACTTTAAATCTGTACAGACGCAGGCAGTCTCTTCTTTGTCCTGTGGAGCGGCTTGTGGGTTTGAACTGCTGACGTTGCAATCAACAACCCCAATGCGTATCCCACAGCACCACCAAGGCACGTTGAAGCTTGCTAACTCACAAGGGTTAGCTGAAGTAGGGTTGTTGTGAGGACGGTTGCTATTGGCAACACTGTGTTCAGGATTTTGGGTCATGGTTTTGTAGAGAAGTAAGGACACTGAGCCAAGAACCCTAAATTAAGCCAACATCGTTAGAAGGCATGAGGTTTGAAGTCCTGGTTCCCTGAAAAGACAGAAGCAAATCTTCTGGGTCTGGTTCCTTGGAGATGTAGAAGACAACCTCCCTGGAGGAGGGCTTTCCACTTAAGCCCAACAATGTCTACTGATAAAGATCATGCACTGGATGCAACAATTAAAGACTTAGCACCCTCTGAGGCAATTTACCAAGGGTGAGAACAGAAAAAAATTTAGTTCTCCAAGGATTATACACAGTGCAGTTACGGGGGTTAGGGGGACTGTATTAAATGTTAAAGACATATGAGATGCAACAACAGAGATGAGCATGTATTGAAAGATTGAGGAATAAGCAGACATAATTGAAAAGTGGTGTGGGATACAGAACCTCATTGTACCCTAATTAAAGTGGCTATTTTCCTTGGCCTGGGTCACTGAAGCCACATCTGAGGATTTATATTGGTGAATAGAGGCTTGGGCAGACTGGAAAAACAAGTCGCCTGGGAGGAAATAACTAGAAGTAAACTAGACTTAGCAGCGATGGTTTAGCCTATCATGGAAAACAGACTTCTAACACCCCTGAACATTAGAGGCTCAAAGCATGTCCTCCTTGGAGAGAACATCTGCTTTGGGGAGGGAGCATGTTCCCAGGATGTGGAAGCTCTCCATTGGAAACCCTCCCAAACCTCGCCCTGTGCAGCACTTCAGTTATATGCCTTTGGGCCAAAATAAATCTGTAGTCAGAATTATGATATACGCTCTGTGAATTCACTGGGTTCTGGTGAATTATTGAGCCCAAAGGGGCAGTGGGCACTAGCAGGTCAGAATACAGAGTGTCACAGGGACTTCTGAGCGTGTAGCAGGCATTCTGCAGAGGTGATGAGAAACCAGCCCCCCATTTTTGTGGCCACCAAGTCATGAAGTTGGGCCATTGTGTGGACTCCCAAACTTGTGGCTGGTATCTGCTAATTTCACAATCCGACAAACAGTGCCTTTTAACTCGGGAGCTCTGATTGTGCCCTCAGTGGTTAGAGTCACAGGAGGGGGCAGCTGGCAAGGAGGATGAATCCATGGGAATCTGAGAACTGACTTGATTGAATTATGCTCTTCTTTACCATGCCACTGGCAACAATAATAAGATTTGGCCCTTGCTTGGTACAAAGGAATAATCCTCTAAATGGAAGCTATGAAGTTGAAATAAAATCCACAGTTTAAATAGCTTATTAGGTAAATATGAAGAAACAGTTTACCAACTGGAAACTAAACACAAAGAAAATTATTCACAATGTAAACATAGAGATAGAACGCATAAAGGAGATATTCAGATATGTAGAAGATAAATTAAGAAATATATCTGATTTGAGTTCCAAGAAGAACAGAATGGAGGAGAGGCAATATTTGAATAAATGATGATGGTTATGATTAAAATTCCTGAATTTACTAATTCTGGTAGAAGAAATGTGTTCTAAATAGGAAAGATGAAAATAAATTCATACCTGGGTACATTTTAGTGGGCATCTCTAGTGCCAGAGACAGAGGGGAAAGGCTTAGAAGAAGCCCAAGATCAGGAACTCATCACTTTCAATGGGACAAACTGAACAATGGAAGCCAGAAGACAATGGAATAACATTAGAACAATAGCTGCTGCTTGATCACTTTGGGCTTCTCTTGCCAATAAAGAGCAGGCAAAAAAAGTGTTACCGTACTGGCAGGAATAATTAACCATAATCATCAAGAGGAGTCCTGGTGTTGTAAAAAATTCCTAGTTGGAGGGGTGCCAGTGGAGGGGCCTGAGGACTTGGCCCCCATACCAGCTACGTGGACAACTGCCCCTCCCCCCAGAATAATTTACTTTAGAGGACAGCACTGAAGCTGCAGCTAGGGGAGAGGAACATCTCTGATCAGAGCACATGGGAGCAAATGAATGGGGAGGAAGAGAGAGTGGAGCACATCCTGGCCACCAGGCCTGGAGGACGATATCCCCGCTCCGAACAGCCAATGCACAGAGTGGACCATATGGCTGATCCCACTATGAGACACAATGTCCCTTGCTGACACATGGCACTATGGGAGACAACACTAGAGACTCAGGGGTGGGATTGGCCCAGACTGACCCTGTGACACCGAGGCAAAGCACTAAAGGCAGAGCAACAGGGAGAGCAGAGCAGGGAAATCCCTAGGGAGTGCAAAGGATAGACTCTGGGGCCAGAGCATGGCACCTCATCAAACTTGACTAGAGAAATCAAACCTTGATCTATTTACAGGTTTTGGGGTGTTTTTTTTTTTTAATTTTTAAAAGTAAACAGAATTTACTAGTTGGGCTGCTATCACAAGGTCAGGAGCTCTAAATCACTAGCGATGAGAAATAGATGAGGCTTTCTTCTCCCATAAAGATTAACAGTCTCAGAAACATAGGGCAGTTCTACTTTGCCCTGTAGCATTGCTAAGAATCAGAATTGACTCCCTGGCAGTTAAGTTCAGACATCAAGAGAAGATAGGGCTGATGCTACAAAATGGGAAGCGAGTGATTTGTTTAACACTTAGAAGATGCAGTGACACCACTTTTGGTATTCCTATGCCCAGTTCTAAGTCTCAGTGAGTAAAGTAACTGTTATCTGATGAGGATATAATACTAGGATCTCAGATCCTGAAGGGATAAGAATTTAGGTTAGCCCGCCAGGCAGGACATTGAGGTCAGTAGAAATTCTAAGATAGGGTGAGGGTACATCTCTAATGGTTGATGCATTGAAAGAATGACTAGCAACTAATATATCTGGCCATCTATCTACAGCACTGGAAACTATAATTTTTACCAATATTCCTTTTTTAAGTATTTCCAGAAATATGACCATCTACATATGAAGAAACTGCTTGGGTGGAATGAACTTCTTGTGAGAAATCAATGGATCTCATCTTCACATGGGAAGTTGCACTTCCCGCTTCTACCGACCTCCTATAGTCAGTGATTAATAAAGGGGCCAAAACAGCAGACCCCCCCTTCCACCCGCCAGCGTCAAAGATGGACCCGTTTTGTCATGCAATTCACAGACCAGAGATTCCCATGGGCTCTGAAGCTGAGTCCACCCTGGTTTAGCACCTGCCGCTATAGTAGGCGTCTTCAACCTACAGCTTGCAGACCAAATTCAGCCCATTGTCTATTTCTGTAGGCAAACTCTTGTAGGAACACAGTCGTCCGTATTCATTTTGTATTGTATATGGTTGCTTTCCTGCTACAATGACAAAGTTAAATAGTAGTGACAGAAGCCATAAAATGTTTGCTGGTTGGCTCTTTACAGAAAAAACGTTAGCAACCCTTGCCCTACATTCTATCTCTTCTGAAAGCACCCTTCAATGAAACACGTGCACATGAATCCTTGTGTCAGATTCAGCTTTTAGAAAACACCGTGCAATGCAAGACGTTAAATTCTCATCAACCAGATAATGTTTAAAGTTGAAAAATGATGAAATTGTATGATTCTTGTTCCATAGTCTGAATTTATAACCAGCAGAGGAACTAAGCATAAAAAGTGCTTTCCTTTAGTTAATGAATATTATAATGGCTATAGTAATATCAGATAAAATGGAATAGAGATAAATAGGAAAATTTCATAGTGTTAGCATTATATCAAAAGATATAGCAATCCTAAATGTGCATTCACTAAGTGACAGAACTTCAAAATATATACAGCAAAATCTGATGTAATGGAAATAAGTAGACAAAGTCCCATTCATAATTAGATATCTCAATATTGCTCTCTTAGCAATTGATAGAACAATTAGAAAATCATGAAGGAGCTGGAGAATTTAACACTGTCAACGTGGCCTCCTTAGCAGATAGCACTCCAAGTAATAATAGCAGGAGTCACTTTCTTTTATGGGCTCATGGAACATTTACTACAACATACATACAAGTAGTCTTCAATAAAATCAAGGGAAAATTCCATTGTCCTTTAATTCTTTCTTAAGAGCTTTTTGAAGCTTCCTTGCAGACTAAAATACAAATTTCAATAAAGTTAAAGGATTGGAGTTCTCTTACTACAAATCAGAAAGCAACAACAAAAGATATTCTGACAATCCCCAAGTATTCTGAATGACTCAACTCATTTTTAAATAATTCATGGATTTAAGTAAGAAGAGCATAAGATAAAATTTTTTAATTGTTTTAAATAACTGTATATGAAAAAATTATCTAAATCTGTAGAGTACAAGCAATGTAATCCTTGAGGACAAGTACTAAAAAGTAAGAATAATCATAAAAATATTTTAAAACAGTGAAGTAGTTATCTGAGTCCAGACTGATATAAACAAGTAACTGAATACACACAAATTTGGAAAAAATAGAAACCCTTTCCTTACAGAAAAATTAGAATTAATAAATGTAGATGGAATGAGAAAAATAGAAAATTATAGTAGTAATTGATATGGACAAAATAATCAATGGATGCTTTAGTGAGTAGATGTTGCACTAAGCAGCAACAGGGTATAAATAATCTCAAAATATTTCTTGCCATACATTGTAATTATAAAGGGGAAAATTGTAGTTTACAGTGAAAAAATTTGGCATTCACCACCTTCAGCAAGTGATCAGCAATAATTACCCCCGCTAATTTATTCACAAGTATATCCAGTAACCCCTTGGTATGACCCACTGAGAAAGACCCATAACCTCCGGGCTTTTCATCTCAATGGTGTATAAATTTAATACATTCATGAAAAACAGACAAATCCAGAATCTGGGATTTTCAACAAATTCAAGTAACTGTTACTCTTCAGAAAGATCAAAGTTGTGGAAAACCAAAAACGACTGAGGTACTTGACGAATTGAAAATCACCCAAATACAATGTGAGAGCCTGAATTGGATCGAGGGGAAAAAAGAACCTTGGTAGGAAAATTGGTGGACTCTGGATAAGTTCTATCCTATTAAAGTTAATTTCTTAGTTTGGGTGACAGCGTTATAAGATATTAAGGGATGAAGCTGGGCAAAGGGCATACCGATTTTCCTTGCCTTATTTTTTGGAATTCTTTTCTAAGTTCAAAATCATGTGATATTCCCTTGTTCTGTTCTCACATCTGCCTCTTTACCCACTTACAAGTTCCATATCAGTACAAACACGTGTTCTGGAATTCCCATTTTCTCAAGGTTATCCATGGTTTGTTAAGATCCACACAGTCGAATGCCTTGGCATAGTCAATAAGGCGCAAATATACATTTTTCTCGTATTCTCTGCTTTTAGCCAAGCTCCATCTCGTATCTCTTGTTCCATGCCCTCTTCTGAATCAGGCCTAAGCCTCTCACGGCTCCTTGTCCATGGACTACTGCAACCATTGTTGAATGATCTTCAGTAAAATTTTACTGGCACGTGACATGTATTGTATTATTTTATAGTTTGGACAGCCTGTGGGGTCTCCTGTCTTTGATACGGGCACAAGCACGGAGCTCGTCCAGTCAGTTGTCTAGGTAGTTGTCTTCCAAATTTCTTGGCACAGGTGAGTGAGTGTTTCCAGTGTTTCATCAACTTGTCGAAACATTCCAATTTGTATTCCATCAATTCCTGGAGCATTGTTTTTTGCATTGACCCTTTCAGTGCAGCTTGACCTTCTGTCAGCACCATTGTATTGTTTGTCTTCATATGCTGTTTCATGAAATGGTAGAATATTGACGACTTATTTTGGCATGACTGTATTCTTTCCATCTTCTTTTGATGCTTATTGCATCATTCAATATTTTGCCCGTAGAATCAGCATTGTAACTCCAAGCGCGGATGTTTTCTCCAGGTCTTTCAGTTTAGGATGTGCTGAGTGTGTTCTTCCTTTTGGGTTTTCTAACTGTAGGCCTTTGCACATTTCATTAACATGTTTTACTTTGTCTTATTGAGTTACCATTTGAAATTTTCTGTCAAGCTCTTTGACTCCATCATACCTTCCATTTTCCTTAGCTACTCTGCATACAATTAAGAGCAGGTTTCAGAGTCTCTTCTGACGGCCACTTTGCTCTTTCCTTTCTTTCCGTAAAGACGTTCACCTTCTGCTTGTATGGTTGTCTAGATAGCCTCCCACAGCTTATCAGATCTTCGGTCATTAGTGTTCAGTGCATCAAATCTGTTCTTGAAATGGAAGAAATAGGCATGTCATTTCATCACCAACAATTCCATGCTAATCGATATTAGTGTTAATCTCAGTTACAGGTGGGGAAAACTGAAGCGAGACAGATTGAGTAACTTGCCTGTCGTCATACTGCTAGTAGAGAGGTAGAGCTGGCATTTGGAGTCTGTTTAGTCTGACCACAGAGTTTAAGCTCCTATTCATTCTCCTGTACTAGCCACTTGTTTCTATCCAGTAATTGCATTATTTACAAAGACTTTGGACTGAAGATCAGTTTACTTTGGCCCTTAAAAGCAAGTAAAATTGACAAGAGTATCACATTTATTTTTGCGAGGATTAAATTAATTAATGTAATGCACTAAAAGATACCTTGGTGGCACAGTTAGCACTCAGTGATGTTAGCTATTGGATGAGTCAGAGTTGATTTGATGGCAATGAGAAAAAAACCTGGGTAAGCATCGGACCAATAACCTCAAGATTGCTGGAATAAATTCACTAGCTGCTCCATAGGAGAAAGATGAAACTATTTGTTCCCATAAAGATTTACAGCCTCAGAAACCTTATCTTTATGATTTGCTTCTCTAATACCCCACTCCTGGTTCTGATAATGTGTTAGTCTGGGATGAATAAAGAAACAAATCCAAAGACATTCATATATATATAAGAAAGAACTTTATATACAAGAGCAATTGAATATTGAGAAAACATCCCAGCCCAGTCCAGATCAAGTCCATAAGTCCGATATTAGCCCATACATCCAACACAAATCTATAAAGTCCTCTTCAGACTCACGAAACACATGCAATGACACTGAATGCAGGAAGATCACAGGCCAGTGGGTGGAAAATCTTGTAGATCCAGTGGTGGTGGAAACATCTTAGTGGTGGCAGGGATCTTCATGTGGCTCCTTCAGCTCCAGGGCTCTAGTGTAGCTCCATGTGCCTTCTCAACAGGAATGTCTCCAAGGGAGTGAGCATGTGTCTCGCCACCAGCGAGCTATTTATCTCCTTAGCACCTCCAAATGAGATCATAAAACTGCTACCTGATTAAGGCTAAACTCCACCCCTTCATTCTTAATGACAACCATTGTCTTAATGAGACAACAGTCTCAAATTGACATCAGATTATGTAACTACCACACCCTATATAAGGTCACTATGAGTCAGAATTGATGCAATAACAGTAAGATGAATAAACTCCATGTTGACGATTCAAAGAAGCCCTGGTGGCACAGGGGTTAAAATATTTGACTGCTAAGAAAAAGTCATTCATTTGAACCCACCAGGCACTCTGTCAGACAAAGATGTGGCAGTCTGCTCTTTAAAATTTACAACCAGAGGAGCATTTCTTTGTCCTAGAAGGTTGCGGGTTTGGCATTTTACTTAGTAATGATCAAAAGCCTTAGATAAAATAAATTTATAATAGTCCATTGCGAATTTATACTTTGTGTAATACTTATGATAGCACAGATATTGATTAAAAAATGGTTGTTATAAGGTCATTCTATCATTCTTTACAGTATTTGATGCATATTATCTGACATTACAGGATGCTGTAACTGTTTATATGGAAAGTACATTAAGAATATAAACATTTTAAAATTTAACTTAATTTTTTAATTAGAGAAAAGCGGTTGCAGGAATGGAAAGCTCTTAAGAAAAAACAAAATTTTGGGGAATTAAGAGAAATATCTGGAAATCAATATGTGAAGGAAGTCACAAACGCAGAAGAAGATGTGTGGGTTATAATACATCTATACAGATCAAGGTAATTAACAACATTTTCTCAAAATGTTAATAATAATGCTATTAATAGAAATTTATGGCTGTAAGATTTTGTAAAGCATATAATATATATAATTATAATGCTTATATATATATAAGCATATAAAGCATATAATTCAAGAAGTGTATACTCATATATATAATTATATATCTTGAGTTTTTTATATTCATTGGTTTTAATAATTAAATTATGTATTTTAAATTATTTCTATTTCTAATTTTAAAAATATCCTACTCTTAAAAAATAAGCACTCTGGCAGTAAATTAAAATAACTTGTGTATGTGAGAGAGATCTATCAATATCTGTATCCACTAGAGAACAAATTTTTTATTGATTAATTCAAAAATAATGTGTCATAGCGTTATTAGTGAAATAGATGTGTTAAATTGTTCATTTGTATTGCATTTACTAGATAGCAACAATACTATACTTAAAGTCATGTTATAGCACTGGAAAAATAATATTCATCAAAAGCCATGTAGGGGCACACTGACTAAGGCTCCAAAATATTTGAACCTCAGCTAAGGAGGCATTCCCTGTATGGCCCCAACTCACGCAGAGGACACTTCTGCCATCCACCCATGATTCCCTTGTCCCCCATGTCTCCAGGCCAGACTACAACCTGACATATTACACAGACTGGTGCACATGATAGCAGGAACCTACCAGTGAGTTTCAAGTACTAATGTCATATATGAACAGACCTGGTAACATAGTGGGTTATGCCTTGGGCTGCTAACCTCACGGTTAGCTATTTAAAACCACCAGCTCCTCTGTGGGGGAAAGATGAGGCTTTCTACTTCCGAAAAGAGTGAGGGTCTTGGAAACCTAAGGGGGCAGGCAGTTCAGCCCTGTCGTATAGGGTCGCTACGAGTAGGAATTGACACATGACAACGAGTCAGAAGTTTTAAGCACAAATAGTTTCAGTCACCTACCTCACTCAAAGTTGTTTGTAAAAGAAAAACCCAAACACCTTCTCATATGAAAGGTCTCAGACATACAGAAGACAAAATGATAAAAGGAGGGCCTTAAATACCTAACATCTAGATTCAACAATATTTTATAGCATTTATGTATGTGTTTACATATTTGCAGAACAAGTTCAAAGTAAATTGCACACAGCATGATACTTAATCCTGTATACTTCTATATGCATCTTCAAAAATAAGGACATGTTTCTATGTAGACACAGTGACATTCCTACACCTAACAAATTAAGAATAATTCCCTAATTACATCTAATACTTAGTTCTTACTCAAATTTCTCAACTAACTTCAAAATAGCTTGCCCTCATTTCATTTGATGTGTGTTAATCTGGTTGGTGTGGTTCTGCCATTGTTAATGAATATTACTGAAAGGTTTTCATTCTTTGTGTAAATAGTGTCCAGTCACTGAAGAGTCCACATCAAAAATTCATGTCATTCGACTTGTAGCTGGCCTATACTTGTAAAATTCTTTTCTCAACAGTATTTTAAATTCTATACCATTGGCTAAATCAATAACCCAATCAATAAAATTACCTTATGCCCCTGGGACATGATTGATAATGTTCTCTAACATAGAATGACAATGATGTCTCTAAGGTGAGCCAGAGACATACATAAACCATAATTATATGGATGGATTTGGGGCTCACACTTAATTCTAGGTCCAATATAAGAACAATTAGTTCTTATATGACATGGCCCTCATTAATGCTTCCCCTCATGAAGAGATCTCTGAAGTTATGAGTGTTAGTGTTATAGCAAAGTGTGGGGCAGAAACTAGATGGTGACCAGCTATAACCAGTAGCATCTGGGGTCTTACAGGGTTGTCTTCAAATGAGCAGCCATCTAAATGAAGGGTCAACCAAGTCCACATGGAAGGAGCACACCTGTGTGATCCAAGGATTGTAAACAATAACATCCAAATCTGAAGGAAGGCATGGTATCCGAGCTTAATTGTGAACACCTGGTTTGGAGAAGGGGATGGATGACAGTCCTCATCAGGTCTCCTGTCATTAGGCGGGCAGAGAGGAGGCACTTAAAATTCAGCTGTTGTTGGATGATCTTCAGCAACATTTTACTAGGATTTGATATTAATGATATTGTTCTATAATTTGAGCAGCACGTTGGGTCACCTTTCTTTGGACTGGGTCTCTTCCAGTCAATTGGCCAGGTAGCTGTCTTCCAAATTTCCTGGCATAGATGAGTAAATACTTCCAGTGCTTCATCAGCTTGTTGAAACATTTCAATTGGGATTCTTTCAATTCCTGAAGCTTTGTTTTGGGTAATGCTTTCAATGCAGTTTGAACTTCTTCCTTCAATAGCATTGGTTCTTGCTCATATGCTATCTCCAGAAATTGTGGAATTTCAATGGGTTCTTTTTGAGATGGTGACTGTGTATTCTTTCCATCTTCTTTTGATGTTTCCTGCATCATTCAATGTTTTTCTCTAAGAATCTTTCAATATTTCAATTCAATGCTTGAAGGTTTTTTTTTTAGTTCTTTCAGTTTAAGATATGCTGAGAATGTTCTTTCTTTTTGGTTTTCTAACTTTAGCTCTTTGAACATTTTATTATATTTTACTTTGTCTTATGGAGGTGCCATTTGAAAGTTCTTATTCAGATCTTTGGCTGCATCATGTCTTCCATTTGCCTTAGTTACTCTAAAACTAAGAGAACATTTCAGAGTCTCTTCTGACATTCCCTTTGGTCTTTTCTTTCTTTCCTGTCTTCTGTATGATCTTTTGCTTCTATGAACGATGTTCCTGATGTCCTTCCATAGCTCTTCGGGTCTTCTATCATCAGTGTTCAATGTGCCAAATATTTTCTTGAGATGTTCTCTAAATTAAGATGGCAGAGACTAAATGCAGGGGTCCTCAAACTTTTTACACAGGGGGCCAGTTCACTGTCCCTCAGACCCATTGGAGGGCCTGACTATAGTTTAAAAAAAACTATGAAAAAATTCCTATGCACACTTCACATATTTTATTTTGAAGTGAAAAAACAAAAGGGGCAAAAACACCCAGCGGGCCAGATAATTGTCCTCGGAGGGCCACATGTGGCCCACGGGTCGTAGTTTGAGGACGCCTGAACTAAAGGTTGTATTTTGGCTCTTGTGGACTTGTTTTGATTTTCTTCAACTTAAATTTGAACTTACATATGAGCAATTGATGATAAGTTCCACAGTCAGCCACTGGCCTGATTTTAGCTGTTGATATTGAACTTCTCCATGGTCTCTCCCCACAATTGTAGTCAGTGTGATTTCTGTGTACTCCATAAGGAGAAGTACACGTTTACAGTTGGCTTTTGTGTTTTACAAAGGCAATTGTGATGACCAACTCATTGGTCTTGCAAATTTTATCATGTGATTTCTAGCTTCATCTCCATCACCAAGACCACATTTTCCAACTATTGTTCCTTCATTCTTTGTTTCCAACTTTTGCATTACAATGGCCAATAATTATCAATACATCTTGATTGCAAGTTTGACCAGTTTCAGATTGAAGATGTTGGTAGAATTCTTCAATTTCTGCATCACTATCTTTAGTGGTTGGTGCATAAATCTGATTAATGGCTGTATTGATTGGATTTCCTTGTATGCGGATAGACATTATTTACTACAGACAGCATTATGCTTCAAGATAGATCTTGAAATGTCCTATTTGATGATGAATGCAGTGCCATTCCTCTTGATTACATCATCCCCAGCATAGTAAACCACATGATTTTCTGATTCAAAATGGTCAATACCAATCCATTTCAGCTCACTGAAATCTATAAAGCCTTTATGTATTCCATTTCATTTTTAATGACTTCCAATTTTACTAGATTCATACTTTGTACATTTCAGGTTCCAATTATTAATGGATGTTTACACTTGTTTCTCCTTATTTTGAGTCATGCCTCATCAGCAAATGTAGGTCCTAAAGGCTTAATCTCTTGCAGGCTTTCCTCCAGCCATTTTGTTGACTCTACTTTGAGAAGGCAGCTCTTCCTCAGTCATCTTTTGTTGTGTCTTCCAAACTTAGGGGCTCATCTTCTGGCATTATCTCTGACAATGCTCTGTTTCTACTCGTTAGGTTTTCAGTAGCTGAATACTGAATATTCAAAGATATCCATATAATGCTATCCATGTGATTTTCAGTGGCTGATTTCTCTGAAGTCCTCCCTTT